ATGTTAAGCTCTGTTGTGGTGGTGGTGGTGGTGATGGTGGTGGTATTTGCCGTCATTCGCCATCAAGTTGCCGGCGACTCATAGCATCGCTATGGACATTAGCTCTGAATGCTGCCTTGTCCTGAGCCAGTCTCATCATATCCAACAGTCTTGATCCCATTTCCCCGTTCACTGAGTCAGTCCATCTCATTCTGGGCCTTCCTCTCCTGCACTGTCCCTCCCCCCTTCCAAGCACAATGGCCCTCTCCAAGGACTGGTCTCTCCTGGCCATGTGCCCAAAGTACATGAGCTGGAGCTTCAAAATCCTTGCCTCCAGGTGGCAGCCTGGTTTCACCCTCTCCGGGACAGACCTGTTTGTTCTCCGTACAGTCCACAGTAGGTTTACACTCTTCTCCAGCACCACAACTCAAAAGACAATCGATCCTTCTTCTGTCATCCCTTAGTTACTGTCCAGCTCTCTGATGCTTCTATTACCTCTCTTGAGTCCCCAGAGCAACCTTGTGAGGATAGTAGGTCTTTTTGTTCTCATCTTAAGGAGGTGGGAATGGTGCTCTGCCTCAGCCTCACACAGCCAGCGAGTGAACAGACCTGGTGTGTAAACCCAGGAGACCAGTGTGACCTGCCGTCTAGAGTCCTCTGACAGGAGGGGCTTCCTGTCCAGGGAAGAGGGCGGGTGGGGCTCGGCCTTGCCCTCTTTGTGGAGCCACCTCTGCAGAGCCCGCTGAGCGCCATCGAAACAGCTGGGAGGGAGGGGGGCGCTCTGCCTTCATCTGCGGGGGCAGACTAACACAATTAAAATGAACATCATGCTTAAACTGAACATTTAATTGGTACATTAGTCCTGAAGATTCTGGAATCCCTATTAAAAAAGAAGCAAGTCGGCAGCTTGCACATTCCCCCAGGAAGATTCAGGGAAGCCTGGGAACACTGAACCTCTGCCTAGCTGGGGGTTTTTTAGCTCCTTAATCCCCAGCTTGGTAATTATGATTATTACCATTATTAGGCATTTATTGAGCACTTGTCTACTGACAGGTTGCATACTCTTTTCATTATTAGCTCATCGATGTGGGGAGTGAGGGGGCAGAGTCCCAAGCTAGGAGAAAGGGAAGGTCCTTGTGATTCCATCCATGCCTCAGTCTCCGTTTCTGCACAGTGGGGCCTACCCTGCTGCTCTTTCAGGAGCTTTGTGACTCAGTCTTGTCAGTGCAGAAGGTGAGCCTGAGCTGGGGCCTGGGGTAGACACCACATGGCAAAGACAAAGGCTTTGCACTCAGAGCTTTCTTTTGAATCCGAAGGAATGTGCCTTTAAGAAATTAAATTAGGGTGTTGAATCAGGAACCCAGCATGAGTGGCCCTGGAAGGAGACCCTAGAGCACTTCTTCTAGTCCTGGCTCTGACACCAATCTGCTAGCGACCCTGGGAAGCCATTTGTCCTGCTGTGGGTGCTGGAGAAGGGAATTCATGTCAACCTCCTCACACCCTTGTGTGCAGGGTTCTCTGGAGGTAGAGCTGGCCCAGGGTCTGTTCCCCAGACCCCCAGTTGCGAGAGTCTTTTGGAGAAGTACTACTGCCTTTTAGCGCTCTTGTCACCTTAGATGCCTTTGGAATACTTGCCCAGGCCAGCAGCCCGCTGCCCTCACTCTGCTAGATTTGCTGGCAGGAGAATAAGATTGTGCTGAGCTCAGCTAGGACAGTAGACACTGCATTGAAGACCGCCAGGGTTGGTTCTCGGGTCCCCGGCCCTGCGGGTAACACGATTCCCTAAATTCTGAGGGTGGTTTCATGTTTTAGGTTCATTGTATCCAGCCTTCCTTGGAAGGAAACCCTCCTTTGGCACACTCCAGTGTGACTGTGCTTTGTAATCTCTAGGGTGTAGCAGAACCCCTCGCAGCGTGTGAGCCCAGGTGAGCATTACCGGGGCTCCATTCACCAGACTAGGGTACACGATGCTCAGGGACTTGAGCACAATGAAGTTGTACAGGACGTGGGACCAGAGGTGATTTCTCAGATCTCTTGGGCCACACGCCCACCTTTTTAAACTCTGCAGACGCGTTACACACCTGTCCCAAATACTGTTTCTCAGTGGTTTTCCGTGCCCTGCCCTCTGCGCTCGGCCCCTGCACCACCCCCTCCTACAGCCCAGAGGCCGGGGTGGAGCGGCGTGGGCAGGTGCAGCGAGGAGGAGGAGGCATTGGCTGCTGGGCTGCATTTAACTTGCCGAGACGCTATTGTTTGCCTTGATGGGTTCCTTGCCTCTCTTCGTCCTGACAATCTGTTCTTCTGTCTTCTCACATATATATAGAACCCTCCCTCCCAGCAACTGTAAGCCTTCTCCCACTTTCCATCCTTCTCTTTCATCACTTAAGAAGAAATGCTCTGGAAATGGCAGATTAGAGCAGCCGCGGGGGAGGCAGAGTGACAGAGCTCGGAAGGGCCACAGGCCAGCAGAGCCCCCACCCTCAAGTGAACAGCCACAGGAGCACACAGACAGGAGGTGGACAGGGTCATGTGGGAATTATATTCCACTTTGGCCTCTCCCTCTTGGCCTCAGTCAGTGCTCATTTTTCTGGCCCAGTCATCCTCCTCTGATGATGGAAGGCACAGAGCTCATTGCTGTATGTAACACTGGAGCCTGCAAGGTGGATGGCCCAGTTCTCGTTAGCTTAACTTCTTGGAAGAGGATAAAGAAAATAGCCCTGCTCTGTAGCATCACTGGAGCCAGCTTCCCACTGACCTGGTCTGCGGGACATGAGGGAGTTGCTACTTCTTTTTGTAATGTTTTGTTAGGAAATTTAAAACACGCCTGAAAATAGAGTAATATACCAGCCTTAGTAGTTACCCACCTATAACTAAGCCCTTCCATCCAGTCCCTACCCCCAGTCTCCAAACCCCAGTATAACAGTTCTAGGCCTGTCCTCAGATCCACCAGGGTTTCAGCATGTAGTTCAAATGAGGAGAGCACACGCCTTTTTCACAAAGCATAATCACAATATATTGTCATGCATAAAAAACTTGGCAGTGATTTTTTTAACATAATCTACAAGAATGCTGGAATTCATGAAGAAGAATGTGACATCAAGATTAGAGGAAGACTCATCAACATTAAACAGATGACACAGCCTTGCTTACTGAAATTGAGGAGGTCTTGAGACACTTGCTGCAGAAGATCAAATACTACATACAGCCTTTAATATAGAGGATGTTTCAACATTAAGAAAACAAAAAATCATCACCAGTGGGCCAATGGCAGCATCATGATAGATAGAGTAAAAATTGATAATTGTTAACAATTTAATCTTACATGGATCCACACTCAAAAGTGTAGGTACCAGAGTCAGGAAATAAGAAGACATGTTACATGGGAGAAATCTGCTGTTAAGGATTTCTTCAAGCTTCTGAGCAACAGGGATACCAACTTAAAGACCAAGGTGTGCCTGATCCAAGCCATGGTCTTCTCAGTGCTGTCTTGCATCTGAAAAGCTAGACAATGACTAAGGATAATAGAAGAATCAGTACCTTTGAGTTATGGTATTGGAGAGGAGTGCTGAATAGCCCATGGATTGCCAAAAGAACAGAGAAGTCTTATCTTGGACAAAGTGCATCCAGGGTGCAAGGATGATGAAACTTCATCTCTAGTACTTTGGACTGTTGTTAGGAAGAGACAGTCCTTGGGGAAAATGGCATCATGCTTGGGAAGGTGGTGGGTCAATGAAAGAGGAAGGGAAAACCCTCAACAAGTTGGCTTGACGCAGTACCAGCAGCAATGAGCTCAAGTGTATCAGAGATGGTAAAGGTAGCACAAGACAGGGCAAGGTTCAGATCCATTGTTCATAGGGTGGCAGTGTGTTACAGACAGAGCTCAGCAGCACCTCACAAAAACCAATCCACATCCCCATCTGTTTAATACATGATCATTTTTATGCTTGGTATTTTCCAATAGGAGCCTGTAGTGTCTTGGATTGTTAGTCTCTTAACTTTGTAAATCTATTGCTCCCTACCCACCATGCACTTTGTTGAAACTGGATCATTGTCGCTAAGGACAGAATCCTATACCCCACTCCCCCCATCCCTAAGGAGAGGCGCATCAGAATCTCTGCAGTGAGGACTAAAGGGTACCTGGCTCCTAACACTGACCAGTCTGACCCAGGGCACAATAGACAATTCTCGTTAAAGTGGAGGAAAATTACAGAATAAAACACAAAATCTGTGGTGTTTTTTTTTAAGATTCAAAAACCCCAAGTATACTATCTAAACCACCAGAGACTATGGTCTTTTCAACAGTATTTTTTATACTATGAACCAAAACTATCCCAGGACCCCTTTCTGACCAAAACACAGTGACTCACCCACCCTTGAGTAAATATTCTACTGAAAAAGGACCCCAGATGAGTCCAGAAGGTTTAACATTTAATTCAAAGGTAAGGTGACAAGGGGGCAGAGGATTAAACTGTTGAAATGGAACCACCAGAACACATTCATGATAATGGAAAATGTAACTGTTATTGATCAGTTTGTGTGGAAATTATCAAAGGAGAACCTACCTTACTATGCAAATAAAATATTTTTCTAAAAGAATGACCTCTGGGGTAGGGTGGCTGGTTGGCAGCACTCGCTGGGTGACTTTTAGTTAAGGAAGCCTGTTGGCTGATATCTCCGCAGTGGACAGAAGAGAGAGCGCTCAGTCAGGGTGCAGGCTCCATCATGGCTGAGCTCTCTTCCTCTCTGGACTTTAGTTTTCTGATCTGTGTAATAGCATTGGTGCTGCTGACTTTGGGATTCACTGGAGGGTGGGTAGGACACTGTGAACTGTGAAGCGCGGAGCTGGGGCTTGCCGGTTGGGTGTCAAGGGAGGGGACTGGGCGTGCCCTGGGCAGCCAGAATGTTTCCAATTGTGGAGCTTTTTGGACCCCTTTCCCTGTGAAACTTTCCCCACCTTCACCTCTCCTTCCCTGGCCAAGCCTTTAATCACTGGTGGATGTGTTTTGTTTTTGTTTTTCAAGGTGATTAAACCCCCTCTGATTTTTGTCGACCCTAATCGTGGCCCAGCTGCTACCCACACGCCAGCCCAGGCTGCAAGTTCCCCAAGGAAGGCCCAGGCCTCGGAGACCACAGCCCAGAGCTCTTCCTCCGAGAGCGAGGATGAGGATGTGATCCCGGCTACCCAGTGCTTGACTACTCCTGGTGAGCATGGCCCACGATGCGGTGCTTCACTGCCCTGGTCCACAGAGAGAGGGCCTTGGCCCAAATCACACAGCAGGTTGTTTACTGGCCAGGAGGGGCTTGGACCAGGGCCCAGAGGCTCCACCACTCCACTCATGTGGAGCTGCCTCAGACGTGCAGTTCTGGAAGGACATTTCCCAGGAACTTCACTGCAGGGCTCCCGGGAGTGGACTTTTGACCAGTAGCTGGAAGCTGTAGGGACCAGATTTCTACAATCCAAGCAAGAGCTAACAACCTGCTGTGTGAACATAAGGGCTGTTAGAGTGGTAGTGAGCTTCCTGTCACTGGCAGCATGTAAGGAGGCTAAGTAGTCCCTTAAGCTGAGATAGCATAGAAGAGAATTACCTCTGTCAGTGGGAACCAAGAGCAGATCTGGGCATCCTTAACTTGTGAGAGCCCTTCACTTCACCAGTTGTAGCAAGAAAATGGTTACTGTTGTTGATTGTTATTGAATTAAGCATGACTCACAGTGATCCTATGAACAAAAGACCTGACATTTATCAAAGCTCATAGTTTCCAGAGGCATGTTGTTTAGGAAGTGGATGCCACTCCTTCTTCCAAATCTTATTATAATGGTTTTTATTAGGAATTAATACATTATATCAGCAGGGTAAGTAAAAAATACTCACATCAAGAAGATTACATATGATCCTACTACCTAGTTAACATTTTAGAATCGTTTACTTTTATAGAAACCTAAAGTAACACGTTTTAACATGAGATCCTGTGTCCAGTATGCAGTGATCCTCACCGATTCTGGAAGCACTGTTCTGGTCCTGACATGTTTACAGTGTCCTTTCCTCTGGCTACAGAGCAGTCCTTTGGTTGGACAGACTCTAGTTCATTGAACCAGGCCCTGACTGGGGGCAGTTAAGGGGTCACTTCCATTAGTCAACAGGGCTACAATGAACTTACGTGCCTGAGCCTTTGCATGTGGCTGTGGTGTTCCAAAAAGAGGGGCATCTCCTTGGGCACACAGCGCCTTGCCATCAGGTTATGGCCTAGTCAGCCACGAGGGTTGAAGTATGAGGCAGGGCTGAAGAGGAACCAAGGCCCAGCTCCAACAGTATGACGTCAGCCTACACTTGGTCTCCTCGTCTATAAAATGGAGATGATGAGAGCTGCCGTGAAGGCATGGGGAAGAGATAGGCTTCCCAGACCCAGGAGGAGCTGACACGGGCATCACTGCCCGTGGGAAGGCCCTGGGGCTTCTGTACCCTGACACATCCCCTCCCTACTCCATTTCAGTCATTAGAACCAACCTCTCCACACCAGTGGCAGCCAGCAGCAGCAACGAGTCCAAAAAGGTGGCAGAAGGCAAGCAGCAGAAGACAGCAGCCACTCAGGTACGCTGGTCCGGGCGCCCTGCCTGAGCATGACATGGGACAGGCTGTGGTTGCACTGCCTTCAGCTTCCCATTCAGTGTCCTCCCTTCTCCTGCATGAGTTGTCGGGAAGACCGATCAGGAATGTGGCATCCCTGATTCTCGGTTTCCCAGTGTGCTCGGGCATCTGATGTAGTTTTTCTTCCTCTAGGTTTTTAAATACCAAAACAAAACTTGGCCTTTTGAATATTCATAATAACGACTGTTCTCATTCTCCCCAGCCCTACCATTTTCAGTTCGTGTTTATTTGGATCTTTGCCTGAATCTAAAAACTGGGCAAAGTAAGATTAATGGCTCACTGTTCAGATAATAAAACTGAGGCCTGTCCCCTGGGCTGTCTGCACCCACTCAGGAGGACTGTGGTTAACTGCTAACCTGGACCCCAGCACCTTCTTCCACCCCGCTGGTGGCATTGCCCCTCTGCTTCCTACTCCTCTTGCCTGGCACTGCCTCTTCCTGCTCTAGCCAAACAAGACCTGACCTGGAGATGGCATAGTTGGCATCCAGGACCATGAGTCCCACAGTTGCCTCTTACTGTCCACAGGTGGCAAAGAACCCAACTTCCCTCCCACTGACCCAGGCCGCACTGAAGGTCCTCGCCCAGAAGACCAGTGAGACTCAGCCTTCTTCCGCCAGGTCCCAGCCGTCAAGTGGGGTAAGCAGGCAGGCATATCGGGTCCAAGCCCAAGCAAGTACAGGGGGAGAGGGATGAGATGGCCCAGCTCTGCTTCCAGGATATATTCACCTCTGGGGCCACCTCACAGAGGAACACGGGCACTGGCTTCGTCCTCCCGAGGCCTCAGCTGCCCGGTCTCTAAGAGCAGTAGTAGTGCCCATCCTAGTGATTTATGGGCGAGGTCGTGTGTGTGAAGGCCCTGAGAGGACCTGGCCTTTCCCGAAGTGTCTGTCCAGTTAGCACCAGGCCTCCTTTCTCTTTTTTTTCCCCCCCACCAATTTAGGTCAGCAGTGTTCTAGGAAAGTCTCCTGTGCTGAATGCTCAGAGCAGCCCTGGAGGGACCAACAAGGTCAAAAACCCCAAGCTTCCTGAAACCCAGCCAACAACCCTGAGACCCCCCAAAGTCACAGCCTCCAACAGCTCAGATGACAGCACTGGCAGCTCTTCAGAGAGCGAGCAGGATGTTGAGGCGGCCCAGAACGCCAAGGTGGCACACAGGCCAGGTGAGATGCAGGGGGCAGCCTCAGCTGTTTGACCTCTCTTTGCTTTGAGACTTTGACTGCGTGATCCCATGCTGGTCCTTGGTTTCCCCACTGTACAATTGCATGAGGGAACAGCGTAACGTCTGTTGAGGCCGTTCTGGACTGTCAGCACAATGCCCGTGCTTCTCCTCTAGGTCCAGTGCCGGCCAGCAGGGAGACCGTGGTGGAAGAGACCACGGAGTCCAGTGAGGACGAAGTAGTGGAGCCTTCCCAGGTAACTGCAAAGGGGTGTTGGGGGGAGGGACAGGCCAGCTTGGGGTCTTGAAGGCAGAGCCCAGGTTGGAGTCTCTGGACCTGGATTCCTGGTGGGCAAGATCTTACCTATGTCCCCGTTTAAGTCTGTAGAAAAGGATTGATTTTCATTACTACTCGTACTTTTGTTTGCATTCCCTTTAATTTAATAAATGGGGTGTGTTTTAAGATTACCATCTATACATAGCAAGTGGTAGTAGCTTTTCCATCTGAGAGCTGGACTGTAGCGCCTTTTAGCTGCCATGGTGTTGGAGAAGAGTACTGAACATCCCATGGACTGCCAGAAGAACAGACAGATATAGATATCTCTTGGGAAAAGTGCAGCCATAATGCTCCTGGAAGCAAAGATGACAAATCTTTATCTCACACCCTTTGGGCATGTTGCTAAGAGAGGCTGTTCTTAGAAAGGAACATCATGCTTGGAAAGGTTGAGGTCTGCACAAGAGAGTAACACCTTCATCTAGACACATTGGCACAGTCACTTTTCCAGTGGCCTCAGGTGTGTGAGAGATGATGAAGATGCCTCAGGATAAAACAGGGTGTAGATCTGTTCATAGGGTCACTCTTGGTTGTACTCGACTCAATGGCACCTAACAACAATTAAATGTCTAAAATGTATATTAATTTAAAATAGGACAGGAGGTAGCCCCAAAGGGCTGGCACGCTGGCCCATACAGCCCTGCCTCGGTGGGCCCTGCTCTGCCGTGTGGGGGCTGAGTGAGGCGGGGCTGACAGCCTTCACAAGGTTTTCTCTTCAGTCTCTCCTCTCAGGTCACGTGTCCTCTGGATCAAACCTGGTCAATTCCCAGGCTTCGAAAGCCATTCCCAGGCAAGGCCCCAGCCCCTCAATTTCCGCTACTCCGGCCACCAAAGATATTCCAGAGAGCAAACTAGAGACTGAGCCCCAACAAGCAGTTGCTATCATGTCTACTAAAAAAGGTAAGTCGAGCAGCTACAGAGACATAGCAGAATGCAGAGACTTTCCCAAAGGGGTCCTGTCTGCCGCAAAGCGTCTCTGAGGAGGGCCTTGTGCCCCTCCCTTAGATCTGAGCTTTGATCAAAGTGTACATGGGCCTACCCCATGCGGTCTGACTCTGGGACCTGGAACAGCCCAGATGTCTTTATTTATCCAGCCCTAGAGGCCACTGTTGATCCTTTTGTTAACAGAAGCAATACCTTTTGACTGTGATGGAGGCCTTTGCTCTCCCAACTGTCCCTATTGGCACTTCTTCCTGACAGATGCTTGAACTGGGCTCTGGGAACTTAGAGGGCAGCTCAGACAAGTCAGGGAGCCATGCTTGGAGGTCTATCTTAACACATGGAGAAGATCTCGGAATTATGGCCTGGTCTTCCAGACCTCCTCTATCATAACCTTACAAGGCTGGGTTGAGCTGCCCAGGCCAGGTATGGCATATGTGGAAGATAGATGCATGGGCTTAGGGAGCAGAGCTAAGTATACAGCAGGCTGTCAAGGCCACAGGTCACCCAGCCCATGACATTAGCCATCCGTGACACTAAGGGGGGGTGAGTGCTCAGGTAGACCCCTGTGAGGTGGTTCTTAGAGTTCTGCTTCATGTTTTAAGGTATTTGCAGGCAGAAAGCACATAGATGGCCATATGGGAGAGGGTTACCAGGAGAACCAAGATCTTAGCTTCCCTCTCCAGGCAGCTCCTACCTTGCAAAGGATCACCAAACAATGAATCAGGCTTCACCTCCAGAAAGCCTCCCAGACCCCCTCTACTCGATCTGCTTCACTGTTCTTACCAAGCCTACGGCAGCTCGAGAGCCAGAAGCTGCTTCAGACCCCAGACTAGGGCTGGAGCGCTTTCTGGGGCCCAGAGCATACTTCAGGAAATAGCCCCCAGCTTTGTGACAGTAAGAAGAGAGAGGCTCTAAGGAAGTCAGGCAGAGCAGGCTTCGACTGCAGTCTCGTCCCCCACCCCCTCCAACAGCCTGGGCTCCGATGGCAGTGCCGGGTCAGGAGAGGAGTCACTGCTCGCTGGCTTCCCCAGGTCTCTCCTCTGTGCGAGGCGTGCGACAGGGAAATGTTTGCGAGGAGGCTGTGGGAGGTTTTTTTTTTACACGTGTAGTCGGCACACAGTTATCAGAGGAGCGCAGAGGCGTGGAAAATTCTAAACAAAGGCTGCTCCAGAAGTTACCCTGGCAGGCAGCAAACCTGCTTAGTCAGTGCCTTGTGTGTGCACCGCACGCAGCAGCCCCCTCAAGCCACCCAGCAGGGACAGTGGGCTGGGAAGGACCCTGTACAGATGAATGTGAACTGCAGGTCTGCACAGCCTTCACTTTTCGTAAAATCTAGGACTGGTAATAGGGCCCTGCTTCAGCCAACCCCTTGTTTTACAGTGAGGCCGCCCAAGGTCATGTGGCACAATGGTTGTAAGCCCAGGGCTCCTGACTAGACAATGCCATCTCCCACAGGCCTTTGTTGACATTTCAGGACTGTTTCACTGGCATTCTGGAGACTTTTCCTCCCTCTGGTGGACTAGTCCTTACAGGGTTGCACTGCTAACCCAAAGGCTGAGCTTCCCCAGTACTTTGGATCTACAGCGGCTCCAGAGCAGAGAGATGAGCAGTCTCCCGTTTAGATTTTCAAAACCCAAGCTCTTTGCTATTGAGTCAGAACTGACTAATAGCTGGCCCTCCAACAGGCTTTCAGAGGCTGTAAATCTCATGGGAAAAGATCGTCCATCTTTTCCCCCCTGCAAAGCAGCTGCTAGATTCAAAGCACCAAAAAGGCACCCGCCTTTAAGTAGCACAACTCCCTATAGACTAGGCCACCAGAAAGCTCCCCTCCCGTTAAGATTTCCATCCTCTAATACTCAGTGGAAGCTCATGGCAGTCAGGACCCCAGCTTGAGTGGCGTTTTTAGCATGAGGAGATGTGGCATGGGTAGTAAGGTGCAGGTAGAGTGTCCCTGGAGCCTCACTTTCTTCATTTATACAGAGAGGTGGACTCTTGTTGCCAGACCGCCTTGGTTCTCACACGTGATGAGAGATCTTCCTCCAGATCTGTGACTGTAAGCCTTTTCTCCACAGGCAGAAAAAAGGCCACCTCGGAAACGAAGCCTCAGAAGCCCAAAAAGGGAGCTGTGGACCCCCAAGCTTCCACACTGGCTCTGCAGAAAGACATCACCCAGCGCCTCCTGCGCGAGCCCTGGCCCCTGAGTGAGGCCCAGGTGCAGGCCTCTGTGGTGAAGGTCCTGGCCGAGCTGCTGGAGCAGGAGAGGCAGAAGACTCTGAATGCTGCCAAGGAGAGCAGCAAGAAGGCCCGGGTGGGCCTCAAGAGAAAGCTGTCCGGAGACCAGGCTGCCACCACTCCCAAGAGCAAGAAGAAGAAGCTGATGCCTGGGGACAGTGGGGAGGGTACAGCTTCCCTAGAAAAGACCTCCAGGACTCAAAAGGGAAAATCAAAGAAAGACAAAGCCAGTGGTCAAATCAAAGAAAAGAAGGAGAAGGGGGCTTCTGACTCCAAAGAGGTCAAGGAAAAATTGGAAGGGGGTCCAGGAATCGTGAAGGTGGAAGATGGAAACGAAGGCAACTCAAACAGCAAGAAAGAGAAGAAGTCAGAGAAAAGTAAGTGACGCTGCAGCTCAGAGCTGTGGCCCCACACCCACACTGAGGGGTGCTGGGTATCTCCCTGGGGTGATGGAAATCCTTGGGAGAGGCTGGAAGGGGTTTGCCCAGGATGGCAGCAAAGTCCGCACTGGATTCTGGAGGCCTGCGTCAGGTGCGGGATTCACTTGGGCTCCTCGAATAACATACTCTTCACTATGGGCTTTTGGGGGGTTTGCGTTTGAGCTGTACCCTCAGCAAAGACAGGAAGCATTGTCTTCTCCTCCAGATGCTGACAGATCCTCTCCAGCCAGCTCACTGGACGACCTGGTGCTCATCCCCAGCCCCGTCCTCACTCTAGGTAGCCACTTCCCCACAGCTGGATGTTGTGTACCACCCTCAGTCAGCCCCTAATTCATGACAGTTCTGTGCACAACTGCCCAGTCCTGTGCCATCGCCGTGGCACTGGGCGAACTCTTGTGATCCAGAGAGTTTTCATTGACAAGCCATTCTTCCTAGGTCATCTTAGTGTAAAAGCTCCACTGAACCCATTTCAGAATTAATGGCATCGCAGCCGTTGAGGTGCGTTGGCCGGGAATTGAACTCCGCACAGCAGGCTCGAGGTGCACCATTGCCCACACAGTCGTGGCCGCCCTGTGTCACCCTCTATATATGTTCCCCCTGCAGTTGTGCTTCAGTTCATCCTCACACCAGCCTGTGCTTTTGCAGCAGGAAACTGACAGGAAGGGACACAGGGTCTGTAGTAGGTGGAGCTTGACTCACACTTCTGTACTGCTAACAAGCACTTCCCAGCTGTTGTCACTGAGGTGAATGGGACCTGCTAGGTACGTGGAGAGCCAGCTGATTCCAGAGCCAGTATGAGGTCCCCCACAGTAGAGCATGCAGGCTGCTGCTGGTGTGCAGAGCCTGTTGTCTGGTTACACTGGGTTTCCACTGACAGAAGAGAAGGAAAAAGTCCGTGTGTAACTGATTGGTATATGTGTTTGCTTTGTTGAGTTTAGTCGTCATAAATTGCCCAGGTAGTCCATGGACAGGCCATGAGTCTGGTGGTCTCAATGCAGACCCCTGCAGTCAGGCCAGGACGGGTGGGCCACCGGCCCGTGCTTTGACAGCTCACTAGGTGGTTGGAAGAGTTGGAGACGTAGTCTTAGGTGTGAGCTTTGGGATGCCTGGAGCCCAGCAGTGGTCATCCCACCTGATTAGGAGTAATATTTGCAGGTCAGGAAATAAAATATTTTCTTTTCCTCAGAAAAAAAAGACAAAGAAAAAAAAGAAAAGAAGAAGAAAATTAAAAAAGCTGCTGCAACCGAAGACCATGACTCACCTACCCAGAAGAAAAGGAAAAAAAAGGTAGAGTAACTCCCTGAGGTGTCTAGAGCCAGCAAGGAGCCTAACCCCGGTCAGTCACAGCCAGTGACGCAAAACTGGACTGGATACAAGTTTGTAAAAATGTGGGCGTGTCTCCCGTCCTAGGACTTCGACCTGTCATTTTCTTTATTCTGTTTAGGTTCCAGATCACCCAAATTTTAAACATTTGAATCTTTCAACTTTACTGAGTTAACAAATTGGGCTTATGCCCTAGACAAGCGACAAGAAGGCACCTATTTCACCCCCAGGGTGCATGTGGTGGAACTTGTGAGCGGGCACGGGAAGGAAGTGCCCAGGAGGACATACCCCCACCCCTGAGAAATCTGGCCTGAGGGGAATAGTTCTGTGCCTGAGTGAGCCAGAGAGGGAACCTGTTCTATCAAGCTAGAGGGATCTTCTGTGGGATGGACAGTGAAAGGAAGGGCGAGCAACAAGAGGAGGTTGGCCACTGCGGGTTTCCAGGTGAGGAAGCTTCACCTGAGATGTGTCTACCCAGCTGGCTGGTTACCCCACCTGAGAAGCACTGTCATCAGCTTGGTTGGCACCTGAACCGGGGCTATCCTTAGAGCCTGGTCTTCAGCACCTCATACAAAGCCCTCGGTTTCTTCCCCAAGGCCACAGTGCACAGTCCTGCCCTCAGGGAACCTAGTATCTGTTGTAGGGAGCCTCACTTTCTGGGAGGTGGGGGACAGCAATAGGTGGGGAAAGGCTTCAGGTACAAGCACTTCTCACCCTTCTCCCCTCACAGAAGAAGACAGCAGAGCAGACCGCCTGAGGGGCATGGAATAACAGGTATGTCCTGGCCTGGGGTCTCCCACGAACCATCTTAGCCCCAGTGGGGATGGGAGGGCAACCTCAGCATCTGCAGTGACCACAGAAAGCAATCCAGTTCCTCCAGGTTAGTGGGGCCAGTCAGCTGGTGCTAGAGCCAGGGGAGCAGAGATGGGCTGCCAGCTCTGAGCACTCTTGAGAGCAGGCCCTGTGCGTGCTGTGGGCACGAGGAAGGACGGTTTGTGGATGAGCAGGAGGTTTGGGATCAGGTCTTTTTGCACTACTCATCTAGTTCTTTATCTGTAACTTTGGGCATTTCTTCCTGGGAATGAAAATGGTTTCCTAAGACCAAGCTGTTCCTGTGCCCTGTGCAGACGGAGAAAAGGCTCTGCTGGGTGATAGGACGGAGTTAAGTCGCCAACCTTCCTGAGCCTCCATGAGCTCCTTTAAATGATGATAAAACAGACCCTCTTGGGAAGTTAAGTGCTTCATTCAATTCCCTGGGCCCAGGAAGTGCTAAATGTCAGTGTAGTTAACACCCCTGCTTTGCATCTAAGATGTGGGCTCTGGTTTTAAACTATTCTTGGTGGAGAGAGTTAAGTCAGAAAATCTTAGATCTGGATGTGCTTTCTTCTTCTAGGAATTCCTTAGACAAGTGGTGACCATCCCTATGCCTCCCACCTCTACTCACTGGGTTGAAACTGAATTTTAACTTCCCCTCGCTCACAGAAGACAGCAGACTGCCTACAGCCCAGCATGCTGGCCAGGCCAGTGAGCCCTGAAGAGAAACTGGCTTAGGAGGATGTGTGCCGGTACCTGGGACCTTTCCCTGTCCCCACACTCACAAGACATTTCTCCAGACACAGGATGCTTACAGAGATGTGTACAGTATATAGATATATATATATATTTTTTTAAAAAAAAAACAAACAACTGGGCTACACCTCATTGCTCAGGCCCGGTATGCCCAAAAGCTTCTGGACTTCCCACCACTTTGCTTTTGCAAACCCAGGAGGCCCAGCCTTATGGCTCAATCTGCACCACCTGGTCTCCAGCTGATTCTGAAGCTGTGTCCTCTTGTCAGTTTCTCTCAGTTTTTAAAGAACTCAGAAAATAAAAGCTTTGAAGAAAAAGTGCAAGTTCCAGTGCATCTGGGGCAAATGCTTTGCAATTGATTTATTCTTGGCAAGGAGCATGTGGCTGACACTTAGCGGTGAGCAAACCAACCATTGGGATTTGTTCTTAACTGTCAGGGCTTAGGATACTCGGGTGGCTGTGGTACACAGCACTGCAGGAAGAAATCAGTGCAGCAGAGATGAGATGTGCAGAGAAGCCCTGGGTGCTGGAGCAGCACAGAATTGGGGGAGGGGGACTTCCTGGAAGAGACGACACCTAAACTGAGGGGGTGCTTATGGATGATCAGGTCTGGTTTCCAGATGGGGTCGGCTGTGTGTAGAAATGGAAGGGCCCTCATGACCCACCTTCCGGGCTTAGGACTTCAACTGAGGGCAGGATATGTCCAGGGTGACTTGGGGTCTCTATATGGTGGGAAATCGCTGTGAGCAGATGCAGTAAATAGAAGTGGTAAAAGTAGGTGAGCATCAGGTACACCCATGCCCAGGCCAGGAAGGTTCTGTGGTCCGAAAGGCAAAAAGGGAATGAACTTGAAAATACCGGAGGGGGTTATGGCAGCAGGACTTGGAGGTAGTCTGGATAGAGAGGGGGCGGGAATAGCTCGCTGTCTCCCACTGCTCCACCCAGAGATCCACAGTCCTGTCCTTGGGGCTCATTTGTGGGCCCTGAGCAACGTGGAGCATGTGAAGGCCTAGAGAGTTCTTCTGAGGTGTTGGAGGAGAATAAAGTACTGGGCTAGAGGTAGAGGTTCGGGCTGGCATCCAGTGAGCCTTGATCTAGAATGGAGGCTGCAGAGAAGTCCTAAATGTGCTTTTTTGACCCACAGTAAGTCTTGAAGTTAAATTAAAAATGGAGACTTTTCAGTGAGGCATCTGCATTTCTGGCTCTTACACAAAAGGTCGTGAAACAGGCAGTGGGGCCTCTGTTTTGTACTGGCATCTCAGCTACCTGATAAGTGGGATCAGCCCTTTTAGACAGGGCAGGATCACCACAGTTCTCTACGCCCATTGTCTTCTCTCATCACACTGTTACTAGTACAGAAGTGAAAATGATAAAGTGAGAAAATGCAGGCTGAACCAAGAACACTGTGATGAATGGGCAAGAGCCCATTTCTTTATAACGAACGTTCCTGTGTATTGAACCTGCAAAGCTTACAGCTTCTGAGGGATTCCCTGGACTCAGTTCTCCGCCCCGCCCCAGCAGCACGCAAGGTTCATAACCTTTTGGAGAATGAGGCATCTTGTGGTAAATGGCTGGATCCCAACAGAGCCAAAGCCAAGCATATTCTCCTAATCACTACCTTTTATTCTTACACAAGCGAGGCTGAGGGCAAGCTTGTAGGCTGAGCACAGGGCAGTGGTTGCTGCAGAGGGGTCGTGGTGGAAAGGCTGGCTTCTGGGTCCGTGGTGCTGGGAAGAGGAAAGAGCGGCTCATCTACCAGGTGAAGAGTCTGAAGGCACCCGGGCTGGGGCTGGGGAGATCTCTGTGCCGATCTTAAAGCCCCGTGTCAGGCTGCTGTGGTGTCAGGACGGGTTAGCCAGCTGGGTCCTCTTGGATCCTCAGCCTCATTGATGGGTGCAGGTTGGATGAGCATGGCTGCCACTCGCCCTCCTGCATCAGTGGTCTCCAAGGTTGTGGTTTGATTTGTCTTATCTGTGTCCAAGGATGATAGAGAGCCAGGGTCTCATGGTGTGAAGTGTGGAGTAGGAGTAGGGACACCAGGGGACAGGGAAAAGGATGGGACTTGAGGCTGGGGGTCAAGATGAGGGCAGAAAAGCTGTGGCCACACAGGGCTGGCTGGTGTCAGGCGGCCTCTGCTGTTCTCAGAAGACTGTGGGGAGAGGAGGAGGTTACGGTTAGATCATCTGTGCACCTTTCACAGCATCCTTGGGTGTCAGCACAGCTGAGAATCCTTACTATCTACAGACCAGTAGTGGACATGTGGCCCCACACACAGCCCCAACCCCATGGTTCCGTCAAGTGAGGACATCACAGCATACCGGATTGGCACACTCCGAGCACTCGCCCTCAAGGCCTGACCAGAGTTGGTTTGCTGGAAACAAACAGACCCCTCTGCTGGGCCCTTACCTTCCAAGTCCTGCTTGGTCACACCCAGCCCAGAGGAGGGGTCCTCCAGTTCCAGAGGCTCTGCAAAGGAGCAGCAAGTGCATCTGTTATTTCCTGCCCCACTCTGACCTTCCCCTGCCCATTAGTGAGGTGCCTGTAGACAGTCTCCAAACTAGCCACTGCCTAGTGCCTGGAAAAACAAAACTCAGCGAGGCTGCTGGAAGGCGGGGAGTGACTGCGGGCTTGAGAACAAGATGCAGAAAGGAGCTGGAGAGATGCAGGCGTGGTCTGCAGGTTTCCTGGATGCGTGCATGGATGGCTTGAACTGTCAGAAGAAAATAAGGACTGATAGAGGGAAGTAAGAAAAGTCAGTAAGTGATTGTGGGTATAAGAGAAATAACAGATGGACAGACAGATGAGTGGGTGGGTAAAGGGGTGCATGCGTGACTGAGAGCTGCCACCATGAGGTCCTGGTCCTCTGTACTCCAGGAAGACCTCTTGCCCCTCAGCTGCACCAGTCTTCCTGATCCTGTGACTCCCTGGCACAGTGGCCCCCGCTTACCACTGCAGTTATGGCGCCCACGGCTCCTGGTGTGGGGGACCTCGGTACCGTTGGGGAAGACGCACCAGCAGTAGCCAGTGCTCCCATAGCACTGGAGCGGCATATAGTTGCCATTCTCGTCGCACTTGGGCATGAACTTGCCCGGGTGGATGGCAGGGATGCGGCTGACCTCTTCCTGGCACTTGGTCAGTGCTGAAGCGACAGGCATGGCGAAGACACAGTGGGTAAGTGAGCTCTAGGCCGGCTTCTCAGAGGGGCCAGAGGCCAGCACTTCTCTATTACGGCCCCAGAGCCTTCTGCCACAGTGGCTGCATTCACTCCACCCATTAATCAAGCAGGTGAAACCTGTACCGACTGCCAGGGTCCATGAAGAGGTCTGTGTAGCTAACTCATCATAAACCCGAACCCCCTGGCTCTTAGAACCCCGAAGAACGGAGTAGAACTGTATCACGGGGCTTCCAAAGCTCTAAGTGTTCCTGGAGACAGACTGCCCCCTCTTTGATGGCTGGTGGCAATTTTCCCTAAGACTCGCAATGCCATTAAAGTTTAGAATAGCACCTGCGATTCTTCTTTCTAGAGAAAAGCAATGGACCTTTGGTATTTCTGGACTGTCTTTTCCCAAACAGATGAGGGTTACCATTGGTTAGGGACAGTGTTATACACGAGATTCAATCAAACATCAGGAGTTGGTTGCAATTACATCTAAGCTGCCTTCTAGACTTAAAGCTCTGGGAGTGTGTAATGGGCCCAGCAGTAGTGTCCTTGCACTGCAGGAAGCACATGCGGAAAGAAGAAACTTGCCCAAAGGGGTCCAGCCAGTTACACAGCACCAGGGTGACCAGCTGCCCTCTTTGAGTCTTTAGGGTTAAAATATCCTGGTTTAAAATGTAAAATAACCTGAAACCCAAGGCCCTCTTGTCCCCTTTGAAGCACAAGTTGTGGCCCCCTCCCTGGATACTGTGGAGTGTAGGGCATGTAGTCAGGGCAATTCTGGTGAGTTTTTATTTGTTCCAGGCCCACTTGCACAGCAGTGGCCACCACAGTGGCGGTCCCTGGAAAGGAGGGCCCTGTACCTTGGGATGTACCTTGCTGTGTAAAACTACGAACCCACTTGAAGTCTGGAGCCGGGGGAAGGGACAGCCCAGCCAGAGGAACAAGCAGGAGAGACAGGAAGTGAATCCATTGAAGCTGGGGTCCCTGTAGTCCCCAACCGAGGAAGTGCTCGAAGCCCAGACCTCCATAGCTCCCTCTTGATATACCTTTTGGGGGTGCTTGAGTAGGCTTCTCTTCCAGAGAATTCTTGCTCATTTCAAACAAGAGCCACTGATGCATCCAGCTCTCAAAGATCTAATGGGTAAAAAAGGAGTTGGGGCATGAGGGTGTCAGGTTGACTAGGTATCTCCAAACCCTGCCCTGCCTAGTTTTTTCCTTGGGGACACAGACACCCAGATATCCAGCTATAGCTTTGTTTCCCCTTAAAAAGCTTTGTCAAGTGCTTCCTCAACCCTGAGCACCTGGCAGAATGTAAGGCTTTGTGATGCTTCTTCCCATTTCTCAGGCCACCTTTCAGCCCACCTCCAATCAGCCATGCCAGAAATCCCCGGGGAAGAGGGCCCAGCACAGGAAGAAGCTCCTGACCTTCCAATCCAGGCCGTCCATGGTGCTCTTAAGATGCTTCAGGTTCTCTGGGAGACTGCCTTTCAGCTGTGGGTACACTTTCAGGGGGTCACTCCTCTGCAGGTGGCAGAACAGGAAGAAACATTTAAAAAGAACTTCCTGGTAGGCAAGGTGAAATATGCAGGTGTGTTTCCCTAGTTTTTTGTGTAATGGACCCAGGCTATGCCAAGGCTGGACCTTGGATCTAAGATGTGATGGGAGAAGAGAGAAGATAAGGAAATCCAGCTGATCAAGACCTCGGGACATGGAGTTGAGAAACCGAGGTTCCAGGCCTAGGCCTGCCAGTGCATGCCTCGCTGCACCCTGTAGACACCTGCTCATCTTTCAGGTCTCTCCTCCAGGAATACTTTCATCTCTATGAGCCATATGTGTCAATGTACTTTCTACATCATTGTCCCCATGGTAGCCTGAGATACACATTGAATCAGGGCCTGGATGTAGTCAGCCCCCACTGTGTCCCCAGAGTAGAGTCAAAAGTTAAGAAGGGAAAAAGGATTGTCTGGGCAAGTCACAACAAAATTTTAGTCCTCTAATTTTCCATCTCTGAATTGCAGGGAAGTTAGACTATGTATAATGTTCTATGGCCATGCCTATGTGCCTTCAACAATACAACAAGCATGTGTGAATGTCTCCTGTACTCTAGGTATGGTGCCAGTCTTCAGAGCACAGCCATGCCAGGACCTCATGTGGGCAGGCAAGGCCACTCAAATGGGCTCACTCACCAGAAGCATATGCATGACATGGTCCTGGGGCATGTTACCGTCCTTGGTGGCATTTGGCATAGGCTGTAGAAGGAAGACATACAGAGTTATCAGCACTTGTACCCAGAAAAGGAGACTGAGAGCCCCGGTGGCCTAAGTTAGGTACTAGCAGCTGGGTTCTAGGTGGTTGTTGTTGTTGTTGTTGTTGTTGTTGTTGTTGTTGTTATGTGCCGTCGAGTCGCTTACGACTCATAGCGACCCTATGTATAACAGCCCTAAACTCTGCTTTGTCCTGTGCCAATCGCACTGTCTCTGACACTCCCATCCCAATTATCCCAGTCACTGAATCAATTCACCTCATAGAGGGCCTTCCCCTCCTGCGCTGTCCCTCCACCCTCCCAAGCATGATGTCCCTCTCTAAGGACCTGTCTCTCCTCACAACATGTCCAAAGTATGTTAGATGGAGCCTCAGAATCTTTGCCTCCAAGGAGCCACCCGGTTTAACCCTTTCCAGGACAAATCTGTTTGTTTTCCTAGCAGTCCATGGTATTCTCAATACTCTTCTCCAGCACCACAGCTCAAAGGCATCAATTCTCCTTCTATCCTCCTTGGTAGAAGTCTGGAATCTCAAGACATCAACAGGTCCATCTCTGGCATTGCTAAGTAGCGGCTCTTGAGCAAGTCACTCTACCTTCCCTGTCTCAGTATCTTCACTGGTCAGACTACAGAAACTTCCTGCCCAGGGCTTTGTCAACTGCAAGCCATTTTCTGGCTAGAAACATTCTCATTTTTTTCTTTTTTTTTTTTTTTTTCCCCCCAACCTTGATGTCAGTCCCAATTTACAACGGGGGCATTATACAGTATTTGTCCTTTAGTGACTGAGATATATCGCTCAGCATAATGTCTTCCAGGGTCACCCGTTTTGTATATTTCATGAGTTCCTTGTTTTTCAATGCAGCATAGTATTCCATTGTGTGAATATACCAGAGTTTCTCTATCCATTTGTTGTTGTTTTTTTATGGGGCTAGAAATATTTTCAATAATGCAAAATCAAGTGCTTTGAGAATGTGAGAGGAATACATGGATACGAGGAAAATACAAAGATACATGGACAATTAAAAACATTTTTTGAAGCCTAGAAGGCTGGGCTCTCCGCCTCAAGACTGGTCCCAAAAGACTCTCTGCATCACCCCAGGGAGCCCGCTTCTTTCTCACCCCCAGTTAGTGCATCCTCTCAGGCTGGGCTTTTATGGGTCAGCTGCCTTATGCTCCCCTTAATTGGCACCTGTCCTGTATCCAGGCTAGAAAACAGTTCCTCCTGCTCCCCCCACAGCCCCTGTTGGTCAAAGTTGTCCTTACCTCCTGGGGCAGGGCTTCCATGGGCAGTGCCCGCATCAGCATGGGAGTAGCCATCTTTATCTTGTTCATAGGTGTGGGCGCTGTGGAGATAGGGCCACAGTAGGTGTGTGGTTCCTAGTGCCCAAGGAATTGCCATTGCCGAGGGATAAGGTGGGGGGCGGGGCTTAAAGCTCAGATCTGACACCTCAAATCCAAATGCAGAATGGCTGGAATTCCCCACCAAAGAGAGGAGAGGGGCTTGAGAGGTGCAGGCGAGGGAGAGAGGGACAGGATGGCAGTGGGCACGCACGCTTGGGAAGCTTCATGCGCAGGTTCTCCAGCTGCAGGTTCTGTGCGGTGACCGTCAGCTTGTCCAGCCGGCCCTGCTGCTGGAACAGGAAGTAGGCAGTGGTAGCCTGGCCTGCCAGGAGCAGAGCTACCAGGATGGAGAAGCTCGTGTAGAGGGCCCCACGGCTGCACTTGCTGTTGATGGGGAAGGAAGAGGAACAGAGTCAGAACAGAGTCTGTGGGCGGCGGGGACAGCTATGCCCAGGGCTGGGTGGGGGTGAAGGAATGTTCTCCAATTCCCAGCTCCTGAAGCACCCCAAATGTATACTGAACACAAACTAGCTATGGAAATGCAGCTTGAAGACATTCCAGTCATTGCATCCCTAAAGTCATCCCGGATAGAAATCCTGGAGCTGCCTCTACCGTGAGCTGAGTGGGAAGACTCAAAGGGCCTGTTTGCCCCTAACAAGTCCCTTGCCCAGAAGGGGCAACTGTGTTCCTCCTCTGCAAGGAGGGGTGAGGTGGAAGCTTTCTCAGGTGACTTCCCAAGAAGAGGGCCTTCATCCCCTGCCCTAGAGTGAAGCTAGATTTAGAGAGAAAAAGGAAGTAAATGGAATGTAGCTCACTTGAAAAAGAGAGGTGGAGCAGTGACATTTTTGCAGTGGATGGATGGGAGGCTGGGCTAATCCCAGTCCCACAGGGGATGTCGTCTACCCCACTCTGTGCAAGAGAGTCCCTGCCAGTCAGGTCCCTCATCTGTCACATGGAGAACTCTCATCTCAACAACTCTAGGTTTTCTTCTTTGAAGCAAGAACAGCTATGACCACAGAGGTGCCTCAAATGGTAATATCCATTGTGGGGGGAGGTTCAATAGGAAAGTCAAAGCGGGAGGTGGGAGGGAAGGTTCAACAGGAGAGTCAACGCCTGAGCCTATTACTGGGTGAAATCTCTCCAGCCCCTCCAATCTCCCAGAACCCCTGCAGCTGTGAGCCTTGGCTGGCTGCAGAAGTATGTGCCTCTGAGTATTGTGGACCCAAGATGTAACAATTTGGCCTTAGGTCCCAGAGGATTATTCCAGAAAGACAGGGGAGTGCCTGCCCTGACCCAGTCCAGATGTCTCAAGATGAGACTGCTTATTCCAACAATGAAACTCATGACCATCAAACTGATTCCAACCCACGCAGCAAAAAGAACGGCTGAAAGCCAGTAGACCAGTGCTATGGAGTTGGTTCCTGCTCTTGGAAACACCACTCCATGTGTGTCAGAAGAAAACGGTGTGCCATAGCTTTGTCTTTTTTTTTCTCTTTTAATTTTTTTATTGTGCATTGAGTGACTCCATAGGATTTTAGATGTTTGATTTTTCAGAAACAGATCAGGAGCAGCCAAGCGTGCTCCTCATTTGAGCCAACCCACCCAGGGACTTAAACTAGCACGGAGAGTTTAGGAAACTCCAGGAGACCCTTCTGCCTAGCAACTCATGACATCATCAAAGACAAAGCTCATTTTCATTGGCTTCTCAGCTCCATGCTTTCTGGGCCAAGACCCAGCCCAAAGGTGAATTATTCTGGAAGGAAAGAGAAGCAGAGTGCTTGTGTTGGATAAGGGAGGCAACTAGACAGGGGAGAAAACCAAGTTTCACTTCATGGCTTTCCTAAGGAGAAAGGGGGCCTGGACCGGTCTCTAAAGGTGTTGAAAAGTCCACCCCAGAGGGAGCTCTGGTGGCCTAGTGGCAAGAAGCTGCACTGCAATCCCAGAAATAACACGGTTCAAATCCACCAGATGCTCTGCTGGAGAAGGAGGGACAATCTCCTTCTGTACCTGTCGGATCTGATTTGACGGTACACACACAAAAAAAAATAATAAATACATATTTTTTTTAAAAAAGTCCACCCGTGTTCACTCTTGCTAGCTCCCAGCTTCATAGCCTCTAATGGCCACGCTTCTGCAGCCCTACACTTTGTTATGCTCTCAGTGCTATCCTTGACTGTGAAGTTGGGAAAGTCCCCATCCTTCTCTGGAACTCAGTTTCTCAAAGGTCAAGAATTTAGATGTCCTTGTGGCACAGTGGTTAAGTGGCGGCTAACCCACTAACCCACTCTGCTCCCCAGGAGGAAGATGTGGCCTCTACTTCCCCAAAGACTCACAGCCTTGGGAACCCTACAGGGCAACTAGACTCTGTCCTACAGAGTTGTGCTGGGTTGGGATTGACTCAGTGGCTGTGTGAGGAATTTAGAGATCATGCGGAAGAGGAGACCAAGGAGCGTGTGTTAGAATCCTGGCTCTGCCACTTCCTTAGCTGTGAGACCCTGACACATCACGACCTCAATGGGCTAAGAGCACCTACTCAGGGTATTATAGTAAATATGATTATGAAGGTAACGCTCCTGGCTCCATACCTAGTACATACTTAGCACTTCATAAAAAACACTTAGTACTGCTCTCAGGATTAATAGCTAACTTTAGTTTCTGGCTTCCTTCCTCTTTATGCATCTTGAGTACCTGCCCCCTGGCCCTTGAAGAGGTCCAAGCCTAGCCACCCCCTCCTCTTATTTCCTCCTTTCCACTTCCTCTTTCTTGAGTAAATAAAGCAATTAATCCAAGCCAGGAGCCAACCAGAATTCGCAAGAATCATGATGCATATGTTGCCAGGCAGAAGTGTTCACAAACAGGCTCACGTCTGGACTGGTCTGAGCACACAGGGTCAGCCTGGTCTTGGAAGCAGTAAACTGAATAAGAACACCAGGAAAGAATTTGGCAAGAGGACATCCATTCTCGATTCTAAGCCCACCGTGGGTCTGCCTGGGTGGCCTGAGCTCAAGGGAGGCCTTTCTTTGCAAATCGTGCCTTGAGAAGGGGATAACGTTTAACAAGAGGTCAGATAGTAGAGCAACTCAAACTGGGGCTCAGAGTGTCCTCAGTTCAAATCTCGTCTTTGACATTCAAGTGATAACTTGAATAAGTCACTTTCCAATAAGAGTTCAATGTATTATTCTGTAAAAATGGGGAAAATAAAAAGTACCAATCCTAGGATTACTGTCATCAGGTGACTGTAATGATCATGAGTGTGTTTAGCATTGAGTTAATTATGTCAACATAGACTAAACATTGTAGTAATAAATTCACTTGTAATAATAAAATTATTAACAGTGGCTGTGGATTTATGAACCAAATACATATCAAAAAGTGACTACTAAGATGGCTATCACCATGCTCATCATTATTATTATTTTACCTGAGACCAAGAGAAAGGCAGTGATTTACCCAGGGTCATAAGTGACAAAAAAAAAACAACAAAAAAACCTGTAGCTGTGGGATTCCCCAAGATTTTCAGAGGTCAAGGCTCTGGTGGTCTGCTTGTGGTTACCTGGTTCCGCAGAACCCAGCTCCTCCTGGCAGCTCTGAGAGGCCCTTTCAAACCCCTTTCTGCCTAGCAACAGCTGACATCACTTTGACCAGACATCCCCATTAAATATAAATAACTTTTTAGAGATTAGAGAAGGCGAGAGTTAAGGTCGCCGGACTTGGTCTCCCTCTCCCCTTTTCCAGGGAAACACATAGATGAAACCATCTTGGGGCTGAAAGAGGGGCCTGGGGGCTTATGGATGTCTATGATGACGTCCTGTTGCAAAGGAGAGGTGTACAGCCCATGTTAGACACCATGATCTCCTTCCAGAAATCTAGCCGGAGTCCTTCCCTCCATTACAAACTGCCTCCCAGCATCTCTCAATCCCAGCTGCGACTGCAGAAATCCTCATCTAGTCTACAGACACCTACAACTCTAGTTCCCTGACACAGACATGTACCCCATACATTGTAGCTAAGAGAAAACCTCTATTCTGAGCTGCTTCTCTGTTTCTCATTCAAAATTCTCTTCAAAATCTCCAAAGTTTCAAATGTAGTACATGGCCTAGCTTTAGTAAAGGTTAGGGTTGGGGACCAGAGAATTGTCTTCCACATCCCTGGTAAGGAAAGAACCCAAGGCTGTCATCTGACTTTAAGAAAGGAGGTGAAAGATGGAAAGAAGGTTCTAAACCCTTGTCCTAAAGGAACCCTCGTTTTACAGGAGGAGGAACAGCCTAGAGACTTTCTCAAAGTCCCCCACAAAGTGGTAGGGGCAGAGCCTGAATCCAGCCCTCTTGTGGCTCCCTATCCAATGCCCTTCGGAGGCACCTGCATGCTGTGCCGGAGAAATTGTGTTCTCACGCGTACCTCTCAGGGCCTCGGGGGCGCTGGCCCAGGATGGGCAGCTGCTCATGGTTGGAGATGAGGTCACGCTGGTCCTCCATGGCTCTGGCTTCTGGTCTTCCTACAGCTGCTGCTGCTCCTACTCCTGCTGCTGCCTGCGAGGATCTGAGACCCTGAACCCCTGGTTCGCCTCTTGAAGCTGATGCCGAGGAGGAATCTGATTCGTCCACAAGAGGCCACCCCGCCCACCTGAGGAAAAGTGGAAGTGAAAGCCACAAAGCTGGAAAAACCCCTGCAGAGGCAAAGAAGCGTCCTTGGGGTAGAATGAGGAGGGGGACCCTTCAGGCAGATGGAAAGGCCAGCACCTTTCCATTGGCTCCCAGAGGCCTCATCACTTGTTTCTAGGCAGACCTCTGAATTCACAAGGCTCTTTGCATGGTTCAAGAAGAAAGCAAATAAATGTCCATTCTCTAGAAATGAAATAACTTTTAAGTAAAAAATGCCTGTCTCACCTCCTCACCCATTCTTGAGTAGAAGCAGAGAGGGGCTACTCCCCCTTGAGTTGAACAAGTCTCTCCGTCGCTGGCCTCAGTCAGTTACATCATCTCAAAAATGGAGGAGGAAGACTGAATTCTGTGTTCCTTCAGCTTCTTTCAAAGTGGAACTGTTATGAGCCTAAGAGGCCATGGTTCTAAAGTGCGGTACAGAAAATCGCCACCACTTACTGTGCCTCCTTTGTGCTGAGCACTGTGCTAATCCTTTGGCATGCTTTGTTTCATGGAAAGTTTACAGCCATCTTTTGAGGAGTTTATTATTATTAGAGATAAGGACACTAAACTTTGAGACGTTACTTATCCAGGAAGTGGTGGCATCCATGTCTTTAACCACTCATAGTTCTAGTGTTCAATCCGTGTGGTTTGATTCAGAAGCATACTGACTTCTGCAAGCAGGGAGGGGAAAGGACCAGGGAAGGCTCTCTAGGGAGATGGGTAACATTTTCTCTCTCTCTTCTTTTAAAATTATCGTGATTTGAGTGAAAGTTCACACACCAAATTCATTTTCCATTCAACAGTTCAAATACATTGTTACAGAACATTGATTGTAACCCCGACAATATAACACCACTCTTCCCATTCCAGCCATATGTGTACCATTCTCACTCATCCTTCTGGCTTATTTCTTTCTGCTTTCTGAGTTTTATTCTTTGACAAATACTACCCTTTTTATATCATATGGCTAATTGTTCTAAGCAATATGTACCTGCTTGGTGTTACTGTTCTAGACGTTACAGGACTATCTAGCCCTGGTGGGGTACTAGCTGAAAGACTGGCAGTTCAAGTCCACCAGACAGTCCATGGGAGAAAGATGAGCAGTGTCTTACCATAAAGTTTACAGCCTCAGAAACCCAGTGGAGTATTACTCAACAGAAATGGAATTGTTTATTGAAAGTTTAATGGTGGAAGTTATTTCAGTTCCAAGCTTGAAAAATTAATAAGGGCCATTTTTTTTGGGAGTTCCACTAGACTTTATCAGACCAATAAGGCTAACCTTTTCAATAGTTTAGCATTTTCTTCCACATTTTTCTACATCATCATCCAGGACCTCCTGTTGTGATCCTGGGCACCGTCTAGTTCTGGTTTAAGGGTCTTGGAGACTGAGGTTCACATAGTCATGTGAACCCATGTTTTCTTTCTTAATATTCATAGCTTGTGTGCTACATATTTTAAAAAACTATGTGCTTTGTGTGGATTTGTTTTGTTTTGTGTTTTTTTTAACTGAATGATTAAATATTTAATACTGCTATATACAGGCAAAAGGGTCAGAAGTTCCTTTTTAATTTTGCCAGCATCGCCTAGGTCCTCTCATTAAAAATCCATTCTGCTAGGGAGTTCTGGTGGCCTAGTGGCAAGACGCTGCACTGCAATCCCAGAGGTACACAGTTCAAATCCACCAGATGCTCTGCTGGAGAAGGAGGAGGCAACCTCCTCCTATACCAGTCAGATCTGATTTGACGGTACACGTAAAAATAATACAATAAATAAAATTTAAAAAATCCATTCTGTTGATTTTAGCATCCATCCATTTACTGGTTAGTCTTCATGTACAGTCTTCTCCAGAGAATTTTCAAATGCTTCATGGTGATGAAGACCAGTCTGTATTCCAATGAGTATTTGAAAGAATACAGGAAGTGCCATTACTTTCAACTCTCTGTGACAAAGCAGCATCCAATGCTGTATAACCCTTCGTTTTGAAGGCAGTGGAACAGTATGATACTTGACTGCCAGACATCCATTTTCTAAAAAAGCCAAACCAATGGGATATAAGGCACCACATAACATGCCAACTAGTGAACGTCTCACAACACAATTCTCCTTGCTTATTTTATCTGAATACAAAGCATCAGTTACAAACAGTTTGTATGTAACTACAGTGGATAAGAACGGAAGCGTAGTTAATGATGCATATGTCTTCAAAGCATCCTGGTTAACTCTGAAGCAGTATCTGCAAATAAAAGTTTGCCAGTATTCCAGAGAGGCCAGCTGTTGTACCAATGAACAAGGTCTTGTTCTCTTTTCAAAGATCATCAATTTTTTCCCCCTGTAAATTCAATGACTTCTGATCTTCTGAATTTTCCATCTTCTAAAAAAGAACTGGGCTGTCCATTGGCATGTGTTGTCATTTTGATGTCCTAAGAGCTTCCTGAGTGGTGAACACAAGCAGTTTGGAAGAAAGGCCTGGTTATCTCCTTGTCCCTCAACTCTGCTCCAGCTCCTCTCCTGAGTGCTACCATTTTTGCAGCTCACGTGACCTGGTGGATGGGACCCAGAAAGCCCCGGGTGGGGGCGTTTTGTGGGTTTTAAAATTAGTGTTTACACACACACACACACTTGTAGTTGTTGTTTTGTACCATTGAGTCAGAACTGCCCCACATTCAGAGGCAGTTAATCACACAGGAGAAGACTGCCCACCCTTCTCCCGCGGAGCAGCAGGTGGCCTCAAACCATATGCCTTCAGGATTGCAGTGCAGCTTCTTGTCATTAGGCCATCAGATATATACATGATACATGTATATGTGTGTGTGTGTGTGTGTACATATATATTTATATATTCAATTTCAAGACTGAGGTTCTAAGATTCAGTAGGTCTCAGATTTTAGAGTCAAGGGTAAGATTGTACAACACGGTGAGTGTAATTAATTCACTGAATTGTAATTAACTCTCTGAAATGTACATTTGAAGGTTGTTTTAAAAAAGTTGTTTAACACTTCACCAAAGAAGACAGTCAGATGACTAACAAGCACATGAAGAAATGTTCAAAATCCCTAGCTCTAAGAGAGATGCAAATCAAAACAACTATGAGATAACATCTCACCCCAGCCAGAATAGCAAAATTTAACAGAACAGCAAGCAACAAATGCTGGCGAGGTTGTGGAGAAACTGGAACCCTTATTCACTGTTGGTGGGAGTGTAAAATGG